CACACATCAGAAGAGCAAGAAGCCTCCACATCATGTGCCACATCCCCGTCTTCTGCTGGATCTCATCGACTGTGCTTCAGAAGCTCCTGGAGGAAGACCTGAGTGCAGAAATCCCTCAAACTCTGACTGAAATGTACATCCACTTCCTGCTGATTCAGACCAACATGAGGAACCAGAAGTATGAAGAGAGAGATCCAGAGAAACTCTTGCAGTCCAACAGAGAAGTGATTGTGAAACTTGCTGAAGTGGCTTTCAAACAGCTGATGAAGGGCAATGTGATGTTCTATGAGGAGGACCTGATTGAGAGCAGCATAGACGTCACTGATGCCTCAGTGTATTCTGGGATTTGCACTGAGATCTTTAAGGAGGAATCTGTGATTCATCAGAGAAAAGTCTACAGCTTCATTCATCTGAGCATTCAGGAGTTTCTTGCTGCTTTATATGCATTTTACCATTATGTAATTAAACATACTGATATATTGCAGTTTTGCGATGTGGTACATCATCTGCATAGAGATGCAGTAGATAAAGCCCTTGAGAGTAAGAATGGTCATCTGGATCTGTTTCTGCGGTTCCTGCTGGGCATCTCACTGGAGTCCAATCAGAGACTCTTACAGGATCTACTGACACACACAGAGAACAGCTCAGAGAGCATCAGGAGAACCACACAGTACATTAAAGAGAAGATCAAAGATGGACATGGACTCTCCACTGAAAGATCCATCAATCTGTTCCTCTGTCTGCTGGAAGTGAAAGATCAGACTCTGTCCAGAGAGATTCAGGAGTTTGTGAAATCAGACAAACACTCAGAGAAGAAACTCCCTCCTGCCCACTGCTCAACAATCGCCTACATGCTTCAGATGTCAGAGGAGCCGCTGGATGAGCTGGACCTCAAGAAATACAACACATCAGATGAGGGGAGAAGAAGACTGATACCAGCTGTGAGCAACTGCAAAAAAGCTCTGTGAGTGTTAAATTCATAATAAAAGATATGAAAAGGTTTATGCTATCTAAAAATAGCATGGCATTTGTATGTTTGTGCTTGGCTGACTCTCTCTTACAAATTATTAACATCCTCTTTACTTGTATTTTGTCCCATAGTTTTGCTGGCTGTAATCTCACTTCTCAGGATTGTGAAATTGTGTCATCAGCTCTACAATCCTCAAACTCTGTCCTGAGAGAGGTGGATCTGAGTAACAATGACCTGCATGATTCAGGAGTGAAGCTGCTCTCTGAAGGACTGAAGAGTCCAAACTGTCAGCTGCAGATACTGAGGTGTGTAAAAATACGTAGACACAAATAAATGTACCCCATAAAGCCTTACACTAGAAAAGAAAAAGGTGCATCAGACAAGAAAGCGCTTATTATTATTATTATTTATTATTATTTGCACTCCATCTCTGCCAAATGTGCCATCCCTTGTCTTCTCATGGACCTTTTAGGGATTCATGATAATGCCCTTTTTAGCTCTAGCACCCCAATCTTAACACTGGAGGGGGACAACAGCATGCGAAGTGTGACAGTAATGGTGATACAATCAGTTCAGAAAATTAACAGTATTTTACTGTAAAATTACATGAAATGTCTGGTTAGATATTTTAAAATTTTTCCCTGTATATAGTACGGGAACTTACTGTTAACCTATTAACAGTTTTTTTCTGTAGCGTTTGTACAAAATTTTACAGTTAAAATTACACTTAGTTTTTACAGTGTACACTTCGTAAGAATGCACGCAAATTTCAGCACGGCTGGTGATTGCGCAAAAACTCCAGGTCTCTAGTCCATAGTGTGTGTTCACTACTCATTGCTGTGTGTATGCACTTGGATGTGTGAGATGCAGAGAACACATTCCGAGTATGGTTCACTCTAAAGGGCTTTCAACTGCGTAGTTCTAGGAACTAGCCAGGATGGTACTTCATAGAGAACCAGTTTCTTAACCACTCTGAAGCATCCAACAGCAATGTCTTTATTAGTGGCATTTACAGGCATCAACAACCGGTGAATGAAGGATGCCGTAATTGGAGATGTTTTTGTTGTGTGTCGTGGGTTTTGTGATAACGGAGATGGACAATTTACGCGATTGAAAGGGCATGAAAATATGACTAAATGACAACTTGCAGTGTTACATATCATCGAGGCTGAGAAAAGAACACAATGCTGCAGACAACAGGCAGCTAAATGCCGTTATCGCTGTTTTCCATGTTTGTGGAATAAATATTTTTACATGGCTTTTTAAAAATACTGGGTAGACGGTGTTTCGTATGTGTTTGGCCAATCAGCTTTCATTTACGTCACTGGTAGTTCCTATAGAGCTGTTTTAGACCCTACTCTGAAGTAGGAGCTAATTTATTTCCCCCAAAAGGAGTTCCCAGAACTAAATACGTTCTTAGTTTCCGTGGTGTGGACACGTCAAAAAGTGGGTACTTCAGTCAATAGATCTAGGAACTATGAAAAGGTTCCTCTGGTGTGAAAGCCCCTATACTTGGCCGTCACATCAATCAGACAATTTAGGAATTTGACATAAAAGATTATGCATGCCATAATCCAGCCAAGGTACCAACACAACAACATGTGTTTGTGTCTGTGTGTGTGTAGGGGACAGGTGTGTGTGCATGTGTGGTTTGGGTATTCCTAGAATTGTCCCTAGTATGCATGCTGTGTGGTATCAGTAGCCGCTTTTCCACTATCGGGCCGAACGGTTCTCTTTGCTTAACCGTTCCATCCCGTGCCGATCCGGACCAGTCAGCAAGGATACGGTTTCACGGTTTTCCACTGTGGTGCTGATAACGGAGCTCTTTGGAATGTAATAAAAATGCGTCAGTAGTTGCCAGGTACGGTTCCAGTTGTATTTCCACGTGAGCCTGGTACGGCGCGGCATGATTACCAACCGTTCTCGGCCCGGAATTCTCGGCATGGTTAAACAACCATGCTGAGCCGTGCTGGTAGAGTGCGTGCGCGTGATGTCACCACTCTGTTGCCTGGCTACCAGTTTCTCCATAGCTGGCTAAGCGGAAGTGCGAAATTTGATCAAACAGCCAAGTAAACAGCTACGCTACGTTCAATTCTTAGAACCGTTCAGCCCGCTAGTGGAAAAGCGGCTAGTGTTTGGTAAAGGAGCAGTTATTTTGTACATAAGATCCCAATCTCTGATTTAATGCCTGTCTCTGTAGCTTGTGTGGCTGTATGGTGACAGAGGAAGGTTGGGTTATGTGTCTATAGATGATCTGCCTTTTAATATGTTTCTGTAGGAGATCTGTCTGTTGATATGTGTCTCTAGGTTGTCTGGCTGTATGGTGACAGAGGAAGGCTGTGGTTATTTGTCTTCAGCTCTGAGTTCAAACCCCTCACACCTGAGAGAGCTGGATCTGAGCTACAATCACCCAGGACCATCAGGGGTCCAGCTGCTCAAACACAAACTGGAGGATCCCAACTATAAACTGCAGATACTCAAGTATGTGTAGAAGTTCTTGAGAGGGAAATATGTAATTTTCCCATTTGTATTCAAACATTGACTATGATAAATATTTAATGTTTGTTATAATCTAGCTTTAACAAATTATTACTGAGGTATCATAAACTTTAGATGGCTTTGGAATTGTTAGCATAGATCAGTGATTGTTCCTCATTACTAATTCTTAGTATCACTTATCTACTTTCTAAATGATCAAACATCTACATTCTCAATGAAACATCTACACTCACAATCAAACTTTTTCTCTCTTTAGCTTGGACCATGGAGGCCCTTTTAGAATCACTCCAACACTGAGAAAATGTAGGTCTTGTTTTTTGCTCTGTCTTTTGTACATTTGTAAAAGAAAAAAAAAATATATTTTGACACATTTCTTATCTTGTGTTCAGATGCCTGTGATCTCACACTGGATCCAAACACAGCAAACACTTACATCATTCTGACTGATGAGAACAGAAGGGCAAAATATGTGAAAGAGCCGCAGCCGTATCCTTATCATCCAGAGAGATTTGTTGGCGGTGAGCGGGTTCTGTGTCGAGAGAGTCTGACTGGACGCTGTTACTGGGAGGTTGAGTGGAGTGGTTGGGGTCATGCAGCAGTGACATATAAAGGAATTGGTAGGAAGGGAGGCAGCGACTTTAGGTTTGGATACAATGACAAATCCTGGAGTTTGGATTACTCTGATAACAAATTCACTGTCTGGCACAATAAAAAACGAATGGACTTACCACTCCCTTCACCCCTGTCTAACAGAGTAGGAGTGTATGTGGATGTGTCAGCTGGCACTCTTACCTTCTACAGCGTCTCTGACACACACACACTCACACACTTACACACATACAACACCACATTCACTGAACCCCTCTATGCCGGATTCAGGGTTTATGAAACCTCATTGACTCTGTGTCAGATTCAACAACAAAGGGACGATTTCTAACTAACTTATACACACATTCATCATTAAATCTCATGTAAATATAAAGTGTTACACATGAGCCCCCAGCATGATTTTTAGAGATATTTCCCTTGTTTAAAAAGATCAGAGTGAAAAAAAAAGAATATTAATCTTTACAATGTTTATTCTATGCGGTGACAGATAAAAAAGGAAATGTCTACCAAAAAGAATTTCACAATTACTTTCTTGAAAAGATTCACATTATTGGCTGTTGTTATTTTCTGTTCAAGAGTCAAGAGGCATTTATTTGTCATTTGCATAGTTACACTAGGGAACTGGGCATTGAAATTGTTTGTGACGAGGCTCAGACTTATAATAACATTAACAGCACTATACACAAATTTAGTAAACAACAAACAATTTTAGACACAAGTGGAGGCACTGGGATATCAAAGTAGGATCTGAAGGAGTGTTTGTTACAAATGTGTTGCATCAGACAAATGGATGGTGTGTTTTTTAATTCACAGTTTGCATTTAACAAATGTAAAAAATCTGATATTCTGCTTTTCAAACATGCTATAGTAAATGCTAGTATATTTTCTGTTTTAAATACTTTTATAATGCTCATAGTAACGGGTTATGGGCATTGTCTGTTTATGCTGTAATGTAGTTCAGAGTTCAGAGGCTGTCAGAAAGTAGAGTAAGCTTCACAGTGACCTATGGTATGTGATGTCATGAATAACAAATGTCATCAAATTATGTTGGATTATGGAATAATTTTCTTGATTATTATTGCTGCTTCTATAAACATCAGTATTTTTACAAACTATGTATGTTTTGGCTAGCGTATTTCTATTTTGATATCTGAAATAAAAAACAAACATGGTTGAAAATACTGTACAGTTGTGACAAGAGCTGAAGAAAACAGACATCATCATCATCATCATCATCATTATCCAATGAATGTTGTGATGTATCAGTCTGCCTGTGCGTCCAACCGTCCATCTTTTTTAGTTGATTAAAGTTAGCTTACTAAAGATAAGTTTATTAAAGAAACTTTAAGATAATCTAAGGTTTTAAAAACTTCAGACTAAAGCTGCGTTCACACTAGCAGTGACTTTTGTCACTGCATATCCAGAGTAGCGTGGTAGAAGACTAGTTAGGTACGCAGGAGCTAACCCATTAAGGGCCGCCCTGCAGAGTTTAGCTCCAACTGGCCTTAACACACCTATCCTATTATAGCAGACATATCCACTGATTTGCATTGATTTTGTCTTTCTAATAGTCCTGCACGATATGAGGAAATTCTGCTATGTGTGATAACAGTGGAGTTTTTTTTCTTGTGATAAATAAATGAATAATTAACAGTGCATATTAGGGCCAACAAATAAAACTAAATATTTTTTTGTTGTTTTTACAGCGGTGAGCATTACGGTGAGTTAGCTAATATTAATAAATGTTGTAGAAGGAAGTAGGTGTAGACATTAATAAAACACAATCTAACAGGTAGAAAATTAAATTAGAAACATCTAAACTTTTCAAAACACAGCAAGCGCACCGCGGGTCATGTGACAAGAATCAACCAATCAGCTTCATCCTTTCCCGTAACAAAATTGAAAGCTAAGCCAAGACGGAGAAACAGCTGATCATAGCTGTACAAGGATAGACATTTTTTAAAATAAATTTATTAGCAGAGCTACTGCAAGGGATTTTTAGTGCTGCAAATCCATTTATCCTTTGCTGAAACTTCCGTCTTCATGGAGAGCGCAGGTCATGTATGCTTAGAAACGGCAGACGCCACGGGAGCGCAAGCATAGAGCGCAGGCTACAGAGTGACCGGACTCGAGTACTACAGCCCTATGAGATACAGCCTTGGTCTGACGCAAGAAGCAAGTCATTTGTAATTTTAACAAGTGCAGTTTCTGTGCTGTGGTGGGGCCTGAAACCTGACTGAAATTCTTCATAGAGATAATTTTTTTGCAGGAAGGAGCACAATTGAGCAGACACAACTTTTTCTAAAATTTTCGACATAAAAGGAAGATTTGAGATGGGTCTGTAATTTGCCAGTTCACTAGGATCTAGTTGTGGTTTCTTAAACTTATTCTCTGGGGCGTTTTTTTGGTATTTTCACCTAAATTTGACATACTCAAATTCAAATGTTTGCCCTACACACATACAATGGAGGAAATTTAAAAAATGGTTTCATTGTAAAGAAAACCCTTTGAACTGCAAAATATGAGTGTAATTCTTTATAAATAACATTATATAGTTTTTAAATATTACAATAAACACAAAAAAAACATAGGCGCTTTTGGAGTTTTAAAACAAATAATTTTTTTGAAATTCTGTAATTGAGGTTCTATTAGGCCCAGCTCTCTGCAATTTACTTTGTTTGATGCCACTAGATGCCAAAAAGTACCAGAAAAACGAATCTTTCAAATAACAGCTTCTAAACAGGAGTTACTAGATTATATGTGAAGCGAATGAAATTGTCTATTTCTGTATCTAAATGTGTCAAATATGAGTTTCCTTTGCAAAAACAGGCTCTATAAAACACATTAACCCCACAATCCTATTTTACTCTGTGCCATAAGCACTTTAATTGATTATTGATTGAATTATGTTTCATTTTTATGTTTTTCTAAGTAGTAATATACAAAATGGCACAAGCGAATTGGACCAAATTTTACATATTGTGTTATTCTACAATCATTTTGAATTATTTCAGGACGCACAAGACTGTCTACATTATAAAATATATCTGGTCTATCACAATCTAAAATAGAATACATATCCTCCAGTTTTATATCATTCCATTTATATGCATTCTGTATTGGGATACTGCTTCACAGCACCTCTCACCTCATCAGTTGACTCACTCCTGTATCCACAGCATCTCTCCATGACAACACTGCATCATTCCTGGTCCAGAGCGGAGCTATTTCGCTAGCCGGCAGCTATCTGAAGTATTCAGAGCGTCAAACAAACACATATCAGTTCATCCACACCGCACTGTAATAATCCGTGTATATTTACTGTATATTCACTGTATATTCACTGAAATGCATAATGTTCTGTACTTTTCTGTCAATAGACAGTGTATCAGATTGCTAGCTGTGCTATCACGTTTCGAAACAATGATTACAATATCAAAAACACGCAAACACACGCTCATAAAGCCTAACCAGACGCGCGTTCATTCCTCTCTATGGCGCCGCTGAATGTTCTTCACCATATATAACTTGTAATATGATTATCATAGATTGATATAATCTGAGACACGTGTGCTGTATCCTTTCCGTGAGGGAAACTCGCCTTCAACACATTCCAGAAACTACAGTGACCAAAAACCCCCACAGTTACAGTCGATGCAAGACCCCCCTCTAGTTACGCAGAGGTGTCAAATTTCACAGCTCTGAAATGGCCGCCGAGCTGACAGACATGTAATCTGACCAAGTGCAGTCCACAAACGACCACAGATCTCTAGAACATCAGACTTACGTGCTGTGCGCGCTTTGGATATGAAGAGCGCCTGTTTCCAGACGAGCGTCTATTTCACTACCTGGACAAAACGCTATATATCTCACCGATGGAAGCACGCAGAAACGTGAAAATGGTCTTGTTTGAAAGAAGAGATCCTAATCTAAAAGATAATTTAGAGTATATAGATATTTGTTTCTGTAATAGGATTGCAGCTGACTGAAGCAGTGCTGCGAGTATAAATGTAAATTCGCTCAGAGGTGACAAAATTTTACATCGCGATTCTATCGAAGATAATTAGATCTGTGATTGTCACACAAGGAAATAATCTACATCGTCAAATTCCTGAGAATGAGAGCTTTCTTGTGATATATGACTTTTTTTGTGAAAAATATATAAAATACACATTCTTCGTAAAAATTATTCGCAATGGTTAGACGGAAATTCGTGTGTGGGACAAATACATTTCTAAGCTTAATTTTACTGCTTTATGAATATAAAAACCAAAAGGAATGGTATTCGTTGTAAAGAAGACACTCCAAGCTTTCAAATGAACCCATATATGGGCTGATATCATATAAGGAAGGCTATGTAAATTAAGCATAAACATTTTTAACGTGATTTTGGACCCGTATCCGGGTCCGCAGAGTTTTTAAACAACTTGCTGTGAGACACAACTGAGACATCACAAACAAGCTGTCACTTTTGTTCCTCTATTTTATTAATTAAACAGTTAACAGTGTAAATAGCATCTAATTGCATCTATTAATAGTCGCTGCCATTTTTTAAATGGCTTACACTTCTCTAAATCCAGTCAACAGAACAATAAAACACTGTTGAATGATTTAAGCTCTTCTTTTCGAACAAATATTAAGTCTAGATATAAGGTTAAAATAAAGGTTAACTTATGGTTAATATAGTAATATGGCAATAGTGTAGTATATAAGAAAATGTAATTAAATGAGATCAGTTTAAGTAAAAAAAAAAATAATAATAATTTATAATTACATTTATTGTACTGTGTGTGTATATTTAGAATGTGTTTTATTATGAATGTTAACTATTGTTTTTCATGCACTGGTAAATTTAGAGATTTTGGGCTACATTACTTCCATAATGATGCAAAATCAAATCCACGTCAGACGGGTGGGTTTGGAGAAAGCTATAAATGTATTCAAAAGTTTTCAGAAATGCAAATAAACAATAAGGTAAATCATAACTTGAAACTTAAACATTAAATTTTAATAATCATATTCACTTCAAACTAATAAAGTCGTGGCCTAATGGTTAGAGAGTTGGACTAGTAACCTAAAGGTTGTGGGTTCGAGTCTCGTACCGGCAGGGATTGTAGGTGGTGTACAGCGCTCTCTCCTAACCTTCAATACCATGACTGAGGTGCCCTTGAGCAAGGCACCGAACCCCCAACTGCTCCCCGAGCGCCACAGCATAAATGGCTGTTCACCGCTGTGTGTGTGCGCGCTTTGGATGGGTTAAATGCAGAGCACCAATTCCTAGCATGGGTAACCATATTTGGCCACATGTCATGTCACTTTCACTCAGAGGCGGACAAAGTACACAACTCCATTACTTGAGTGAAAGTACAGATACTGCTGGTCAAATATTACTCCATTACAAGTAAAAGTTGTAAAGACAGATTTTTACTTAAGTAAAAGTACAGAAGTACTTGCTTTTAAATGTACTTAAGTACCAAAAGTAAATTTCCTTATTTATGTCAATGCACTGTTTTATTATTGTTGTATGTAATACTTGCAATACCTCTGAAGCAACTTACAATACATTACACCTACTGAATAGACTGACTAGCTTGTAGTATCTTTGGAATAAAGAGCTTTTAGAATGTTAAAAACCTATGGGGGAAAAAAACAACAA